CATATTAACTGTAAAGCATTGTCTAGAGCAGTGCCTGACACACAGTGAACAGTCAATAAATCTTTGAATGAATGAATGAATACTAAGAGATCAGAAAAAAACCCTTAATTTCTATTCTTTCTATTGTTTATTTCTATTCTTCATTTCATAGCAGAGAAGCTCAAAGTAAATTTTCGCCACTGAACAACTGCTCTGGAAACCACCATCTGCAGCTATACCCTCAAGCAAATGAACGTCTGTGAAGTGAAATAGATCAGATTACCCTATTCCCCACCTGCCCTTCACAGTTTCTACAAGAGTTGGCAGCAAAGAAACAGTCCCTCTGTACTTTTAGCAAAAATAAAAACAAATAAGAATGCCAGAATACGAAAGGAAGGCTTTCATGTTAGGAAAGCTGAAGTCTGATCCTTATGAAGAGTTGGGGAAAGAGGAAAACAGAGATTAGAACCGATGATGTGAGCAGGGGTCACATATCCTGACAGCAGAAAAAGTAAGCAAAAAATACAAAGGCTTGAGTCAGACAAGTATTCACATAGTTCCGGAGGTTGTAGGGGGAAGAAGTTCAAAACACACTTCTACACCTCAGCTATCTAAAGGCAGTGTACCACGCTATGGGGCACCTGGGTGGTTCAGTTGGTTAAGCGTCTTCCTTTGGCTCAGATCATGATCTCAGGGTCCTGGGATCGAGCCCCGAATTGGGCTCCCTGCTCAGCATGGAGTCTGCTTCTCCCTCTGCCTCTGCCCCTTTCCCCAGCTCATGCTCGCTCTATAATAAATGAAAGATCTTTAAATATTAAAGAAAAACAAAGGCATTGTACCACACTAAAAGCAGTCAACCTTTAATCCTATACAAATGATGAATAAGTCATCTCTTTATCACTGCTGTGGTATGAATGTTTGTATCTCCCCAAAATTCATATGGTGATAGCCTAAACCCCAGGTTGTGGTATTAGGAGGTGGGGACCCCTGGAAAGTGATTAGGTCTTGAAGTCAAGGCCCTCATGACTGACACTGGTATCCTTATAAAAGACACTCCAGGTAGCTCCTCCCTTCCACCATGTGAGATTATAGCAAAAAGAGAGCCTCGGTGAGGAAGTGAGCCCTCACCAGACACCAAATACGCAGACACCATGATCTTAGACTTCCCAGACTCCAGAACTGTGAGAAATAAATGTCCGCTGTTTAAAAGCCACCAGTTTATAGGGAGCCTGGGTGGCTCAGTGGGTTAAAGCCTCTGCCTTCGGCTCAGGTCATGATCCCAGGGTCCTGGGATCCAGCCCTGCATGGGGCTCTCTACTCAGCAGGGAGCCTGCCTCCCCCCCACCTGCCCCCTGCCTGCTTCTCTGCCTACTTGTGATTTCTGTCTGTCAAATAAATAAATAAAACCCACTGAGACCCAGACTTCTGCTTAAGGCCATGATGGAGTAACAGACTGGATTGACTGCCCTGTTTTAAGTAACTAGGAAACTGGGAAAAAAACACACAGTAAGTTTCAGACACTGAACAACACACAGCACAGTAAAGTGGCCCTGAGAGTGGGAAACAAAGGCAGTGAGCCCTTCAGTTGCCCCAGCTCAAGTGCCTAGAGATTCCAGTCTGAAGTGGAGGGAGGGGAGTCCGTACAGCACCTGGTGGTCTAGTCAAGTCGAGAAGATACCAGATGAACATGTGTTACAACTTTTCTGTAAACCTAAATCACTCCAAAATGAAATGTTTACTAAAGAAAAGAAAAAAGCCAAGTTAGTAAGCCAATAGTGAGGTAAAATGAAACCAAAAATTAGACAGAGGTAGATAGTTCTAGCATTAAGCCTAATTGAGTTCTGAGGCAATGCTGTCACCAAGAAATGCTGCCGTTTGCACCCAGGCATTCAGGATCCAGAGCTCATACTCTTTTTTTTTTTTTTTTTTTTTAAGATTTATTTATTTATTTATTTGACAGAGAGAGAGAGAGAGAGAGATCACAAGTAGGCAGAAAGGCAGGCAGAAAGGGGGGGGGGGAAGCAGGCTCCCCGCTGAGCAGAGAGCCTGATGCGGGACTTGATCCCACGACCCTGAGATCATGACCTGAGCCAAAGGCAGAGGCTTAACCCACTGAGCCACACAGGCGCCCCCAGAGCTCATACTTTTAACCACCTTGGTATGCTGTATCTTAAGCAAAGGATAAACAGAATATAAAAATTCATCATGTGGCTGCTGCCAAAGGTTGACACAAGGGTCCTTCATTGTAAAATTCTTTTAGCTCTGAGGTCTTCGATGCAACTACCTTAAAATATGTTGAGGAATATTTACAGCAGCTTTATTCATAATCATCCATCTAGAAACCCAAATGTACATCAAAAGAATAAACAGATTGTGGCATACTACCAGGATGGAACACTCAACAGCAATGTAAAAGAATTACCTGCTGCAGATGACATATAAGCAGTGCTCAGATGTAAGCTTCAGTAAAAAGCCAGAACAAAAAGATAAATACTGTACCATTTACATGATAGGCAAAACTAGTCAACAGTGATGGAAATCAGTATAGTTGCTAACTAGGAAGGATCCCAGGAACTTTCTGGGGCACAGAAATCATTCTTTTTTTTTTTTTTTTAAGATTTATTTATTTGACAGAGATCACAGGTAGGAGGCAGGCAGAGAGAAAGGAAGGGAAGCAGGTTCCCTGCCGAGCAGAGCCCGTTACGTTACAGGGCTCAATCCAGGACCCTGGGATCATGACCTGAGCAGAAGGCAGAGGCTTTAACCCACTGAGCCACCCAGGTGCCCCACAGAAATCATTCTATTTCTTGTTCTTGGTGGCAGTGACAAGAGTGTGTATTCATATGTAAAATTCATCGCACAGGACGCCTGGGTGGCTCAGTCAGTTAAGCAGCTGCCTTCCGCTCAGGTCAGGATCCCAGGGTCCTGGGATGGAGCCCCTTGCTCAGCAGGGAGGATGCTTCTCCCTCTGACTGCTCCTTCCCCTGCTTGTGCGCTCTCTCTCTCTGACAAATAAACAAAATCTAAAAAAAAAAAAAAAATTCATCACATGGTATTCTTAAGATTTGTGTCCTTTGCTGTATGTATATTAATCCTCAAAAAGCATTATATTTTTTAAAGTCTTCCTGCTGTTAAAAAAAAAAAAACATAATGTTTTACTCTGCAGTCTAGATAAATACCTATGGATCATTTGACCAAATATGATTAAGTTCAGAAACAGAACCTTAAACTTAATTTCATTAGGATTGTACTTCACATTCTCATTTCTCTGATTTCACAGTCAGCAACCCATGGTGCCAACGGCGTCAAAAGAAATAACCTTCACCGGCACAAAAGTAAAAGTTGTGGACAGCACCAGCTGAGTTCCCCAATGCAGGCTCCAGATCTCTGGACTGCTGGGAATGCACGCAGCACGAACATTCACGCACGAACATTCATGCAACATTCGCAGCACGGTGGGATGTCATCAACCTCAACATTGCTTACAGACTGCAAGAACAGAAGAGTTCCCTGTGGAAATGATCATTTTCACACAGGGGAGTTATCAATACCCTTGTTCTCATCACTTCCAGAAAGTGATGTACACAGGCCAGACAGAGTCCTTTAATAGACAGTGACATACAAACATCACTTTCCATTATGTAAGCAGATGCTCTAATTGTATCACAGAATCAAATTCTCTTGTTTGAGTCCAGATTTGCAGAACAAATACTGTGGTTGTGCACGAACCCCACTGCACATTTCAGTCCAAAAACGTAAAAATTTGTGTGCTACTATTCCCTGCATACTGAAAATGACAACAGAAGAGAAACATTTTAGACGGAAAAAGAGAGCACGGTGAGTAGGCAGTGAATAGTGTGATGACCTAGAAAGTTAATGAAACAACAAAGACATCAGAACACAATTACAACTGACAGCTTGAAGCATTAACGTTGTCGAAAGTCTCCTTAGAGCCCCAAAATTCAGTTTCTCCAATCTTCTAACATAGGCCTCTCCTCATTACCAAATAGTACCATTCACCGAGATCCACCGAATTAGCTCAAAATCGGCTTTAAGAAACAAGATTCCTTAAAGGATTAGGAAACGTAAGAGACGGAGCACGTAAACAAGAACGGCAAAAGACTAAGATTTTCGTGAAAATTAAGGGTTTAAATTTAGTGAGGGTTTATTAAAAGCGAAAACTGGCAGTGCTCCCCTCCAAGAAAACAGGAAGAAACCGACGGGTCCCCTTGAGAAGAAAATAGGGATTTGTGATAACCCTGGGCTTATCTAAAAAGATTCTACAGCAAGCCCTCCAGAAGAGAAAGATGTGCTTGGAACAGGAGTAAGTTCTCCCCTTCAGGAAAGTCAATAGTGTGAAAATACGCAGAAGGTGGTGAGAGCCAGAAGGAGCGGAGAACCTCAGGCAGGGGTAAGTACAGGCAGCCCCACTCGGGACACCGGAATAGGGCAGCGACGAAAGAGCAGAACCGAGAACGGGAAGGAAGAATCCTGCAGGTCTCGGGCGCAAGCTCCTGCAGGAGGGCTCTCTGGTTCACCGCTCAGCCGAAGCGTCTACAACTGTGCCTGGCTCGTGACACGGGCCCAATACACAGATGGAAGTGAAGACAAGTGTTCCAGCCAAGCACTGTCTGTCTGAGGGACACAGAGATCCCAAACGCCCCGCGCCGCTCAGTCCGCTCCTGCCCTTCACGCCCAGCCCGGAACCCTGGGCGGGGAGGGTCGCCCTTCACTGCTGTATCTAGGGCCTGGAACGCGGTCATGAAGCCCGGGGGTCCTTACTTACTTTTGCAGCCGGGCGCCATGGCGCCCTCAACCCTGAATCCCAAGACCAGCGCACCGGATACCCTCACCTCCAACCGCTCGGCGCGCCGGGATTCCGCCCGCTCAAGATGGCCGCAAATTTGAATTTGGCGCTCGGGTCGAACGTTGACGCCAGCAAGGAGGCCGCCATGTTGCCCGGCCTCTGGCCAGGGGGCGGGGACGGCGTGACGTCACGAGTAGGCGCCGTCGCCAATGTACCATCACCAGGCGACTCCGGGAACCTGTTTTCCCCGGAGCAGCTATGAGCAAGCGGAACCAGGTTTCGTACGTGCGGCCAGCCGAACCGGCGTTCCTGGCTCGCTTCAAGGAACGGGTCGGCTACAGGGAGGGCCCTACCGTGGAAACCAAGGTGAGCCCAGGCCAGTCGCGTTATCTCAGAAACGCGGGCTGCCCTTCCACTTCCGGCTTGTGTTTTGACTTTGAGGCCGGGCAGGGAGGAATCCCTCCTCTCAACCTGCGCCCAGCCCAGAATCCGGATGGGCCTCAGTCCCCAGGCTGGTCTTCTTCAAACAGCTATCGTTTTGTATGCCCAGGAAGCTGTTTGTCTTTTATCGTAGTGCTGTTGTGTTCTTGGAAATGACTTCACCCCGGTAGAGCGCTTTGTCCCTGGGAGTTCGTTAAAGGATCACTTTTCTCTCTCGTATTATTTGCTAAACCCAAAACCTATAGTTAGCAGGGTGAGTGGTAACTTAGTCCTGTTTTCCAGATAAAGAAACAGAGGCCACTCGATCAAATGATCTGATGTCCTAAGCCTGGAGTCCGGAGCATCTTTGGGACAGTGCCTTAGATCTATTTTTATGCTTTGTTGTTTACTGCTCCCCCCCCCCAAAAAAAACGCATATTTAAGAATATCCTCGATCTAGGGGCGCCTGGGTGGCTCAGTGGGTTAAGCTACTGCCTTCAGCCCGGGTCATGATCTCAGAGTCCTGGGGTCCCTCTGCTCAGCAGGGAGCCTGCTTCTCTCTCTCTCTCTCTCTGCCTACTTGTGATCTCTCTCTGTCAAATAAATAAAATCTAAAAAAAAAAAAAAAAAAAGAATATCCTGGATCTAAGTAGAATAGGAGCTTCAGGAAAGAGCAACACCTGGACAGTTTAGGGATGAGGATCGGTGGGAATCAACTTCTGAGCCCTCCCAGGGTCTAACTGGTTCACACCAAAACCTGCCCTACTTCTTTTAATGGGAAGAGACTGTTAGGCTTAGGGATTGTGTGGCTAAAGAATTATTTAGCACTCTGTGTCTAGTACTTTCCTAATACCCACTCCCCAAGTCACTTAGAGCTTAGTAAAGGAAACAAGATTGACTTGTGTGAAATTACTCAAGCCAGTGAGTATGTGCTAAATCCAGAATTTGTGCCAGGCTCTGAAAGGACAAAGAGATCGATCTGCAAAATACTGTATTCTTTTAAAACCTTCCTTCCTGCCTCCTCTCTGCCTTTACAGGTTACACTTCTGTGAACCTCTTCAAAACCCCTCCAAACGGTTACTTTTCCTCTGTGTTTCTCTTCACTTTGCCCATATCTGGGGTATTCATCATTTTGCAGTGCAACTACTTGCTCTCCTGGGTATCTCCAACACTAAACCAAACTCTTGAAGTTAGTATCTTAATCTTTCTGTATTTTCCCGGCACCTGGCATAGTACCTGGCACCATTTGTATTGACCATTTGTATTGACTGTGCTTATCAGGCAAGACTTCACGGAGGAAGGGCTACTTAGATTGAATTTAATGGGTAGGACAGCAGGTAGAGATGGGAGGAAGGATGGATGAAGGTGTAAAGATAGTGAGTCAGTGGGGTACCTGGCTGGCTCAGTCAGTGGAGCATGTGACTCTTGATCTCAGGATTGTAGGTTGGAGCCATTCATTGGGTGTTAGAGATTGCTTAAAACTAAAATCTTAAAAAGAAAAAATGATGGTCAGTCTTGGACTGTGTGTAAAGGTGATTGAGGAACTGTTGGAGGGGAGACCACATGGCCTATTCAGTAGCCGTCAAGGAGCCATTTTTGGTTAGAGATAACATGATCAGGGAGTAACTGATTCCTCAGGCCCAAAAACAGTGAGAATGACAAAGAGGATGAGGTTTGAGGAAAGAGACATGGATTTAGCAATGAGGAGAATATGAGACCTTTTTATCATTTGCTTGAGGTCCTTGTGATGATCATGTGTACATAGTTAACACCTTGAAGATTCTAGCTTGGAATGCTATTTTAGGAGAACTTGGGGTGGGGGCACTTTCCAATTCATATCACTGATTTAGACTGACTGACTTAATTGAGAGACTTTTCCATAGAGGGATAACCCCTGTTTCTGTGTTTGAGAAACCAGCTGTACTCTTAATCAGGTTGGCAGTATAAGCATCGTTCTAGTGATGTGCTAACAAAAAGAAGAGTTTCACGGGAAATGATTATATAATTGAATTAAATTACCTTATTCACCTTCTTGAGCGTTAATTCAGGAGTGGCTTTGAACAGTCACTGTTTCTTTGACTGTTTCTCTTATTTTCTGGCCAGTCATAGAAACAAAAAGAGAGGAGCAGAATTAGTGATTCTCAAGCTAATGAACCCGAGAATTTTTTTTTAAAGATTCTATTTTTAGCGGTGCCTGGGTGGCTCAGTCGGTTAAGATCTGCCTTTGGCTCAGGTCATGATCCCAGGACCTGGGATCAAGCCCTGTGTCAAACTCCTTGCTCAACAGGAAGCTTGCTGCTCCCTCTGCCTGCTGCTCCCCGTGCTTGTACACTCGCTCACTCGCTCTCTCTGACAGATAAATAAAATCTTTTTAAAAAAATCTTTAAAATAGGTAATTCCATGTTAATAGGTAATTCCTAGGCATTATACAAATATATTTTTGAGTAAAAAAGTTGGAGGGGGCTTTTATGTATCTGACATTTTTCGAAATTCTGAATCAACTGGCCAAAGGTTACCCCTTGTTACATATATATACTGAATACATGGTTTCTATTGGTATTCTCTGAATTTTTTTATTTTGGGAAATTTCATAAAGAAAAGAAAGCAAGTCACATAGTACTATGTACAATGTCCTGTTTGTATACAGAATGTTTTCTATACTTTTTCATTTTTTATACACTTAGAAAACAGCTGATAGGATGCCCACCAAACTGAAGCCCTTGGAAGGGAAGAGAGATCATCAGAGGTGGGGGAAAGATGTCCTTTTACTTGCTGCTTTCTCTACTTTGAGGTTATTTTTTTTGTCAGGCTTTGAGAAGAGATGGAAGTGAAAACAGTTGATGAGAGCAGAGAGAACGGTTGTGGTTCAGCAGGCCCTGAGGAGGCTGGGAATGCTGGCAGTCCATGAAGCCAGGGCCCCTGCCACTGGGAACTGTGTGCTAGGGTCCTGCTGAGAAGGAAATTAATCCCTTTGGGCAGGCACTACAGGGTAACTGGCTGGTAGACCTCTTTCCGAGTGTGGCAAGGTGAGGCCCTTAAGAGTTACTTGAACATTCTTTGCCAAATATATTTATTGATTCAAGTTACCCTTGTCACTTAGTCATCACAGTGTCTCACGGAGATAACAGTTGTATTCGGTTCAAGGTCAGCAGCCTCCATATTGTGTTTGTGTTTTCTCCTAGAGAATCCAGCCTCAGCTCCCAGAGGAAGATGGTGATCACAGTGACAAAGAAGATGAACAGCCCCAGGTGGTGGTTTTAAAAAAGGGAGACCTGTCAGTTGAAGAAGTCATGAAGATTAAAGCAGAAATAAAGGCTGCCAAAGCAGGTATGTCCAAAAGTAATCTGGTTTTTCTAACATTGTAGAGAGCCTGGAATATGAACTTGTCGTATGTAATAGTATGGTATGTTCGAAGGAGAGAGTCCTAGGTTCAAACTTAGGCTTTAACTCACAGCAGGTGTGTGATCCTCAACGAGTTATTTCGCCTCCCAACCTCAGCTACCTCATCAGTAAAATGGGGACTTACAATGGTACCTATCTTACTGGGTTGTTAGGAGGATTAAGTGCAAATTTAAATTAAAATATCCTGTTTTCAGGGCACCTGGGTGGCTCAGTGGGTTAAGCCTCTGCCTTCAGCTCAGGTCATGATCTCAGGGTCCTGGGATAGAGCCCTGCATCGGGCTCTCTGCTCGGCGGGGAGTCAGCTTCCCCCTGTCTCTCTGCCTGCTTGTGATCTCTCTCTGTCTGTCAAATAAATAAATAAAATCTTTAAAAAAAAAATTAAAATAAAATATCCTGTTTTCTTAAAAAAAAAAGATGGTTAGGTTTACACATTAGTCAACAGAGGTGTATTTAATAAGTGCCTGAGGTGAAATCTGCTACGTGGTATAGTTTTCATTTTTCCTAAATACTTATTACATTGCTTTAAGGAAAAATGCTGTAGTTCCAAACAATCACTTTTCATAATACATAAAAATACAGCCTGATTGTCATTCATTGGGGACTGGCAATATGATGGACTTCTTTAGGAAATGAATTTTTATTAAGGGACTGCATGTCTTGTGGGTGTAGCTAGAAAATAGAAAGTGGAGAAGACTGGACTGAACTGACTCAGAACATCCTTAAATGCCATCTGAGATCTTCTTGCCATTGGAGTCTCTAATAAAGACAAAATAATGAGAGAAGAAAGTTCCTTAACTTTGTTTTTGCTGCAGATGAAGAACCGGCTGTAGTTGATGGAAGAATCATGTATCGAAAACCAGTCAAGCGTTCCTCGGATGAAAAATATTCAGGTCTAACAGCAAGCTCGAAAAAGAAGAAGGCAAATGAAGATGAAATAAATAAGCAGGACTCGGTTAAAAAGAACTCACAAAAGCAAGTCAAAAACAGTTGCCTCCTTTCTTTTGACAATGAGGATGAAACTCAGTAAGTGTAGATATTTTGGACTTAATCTTCCTTAAGAGTATATAGGGTGTTTTCTAAAGTGACACTTTTTTATTTCTATTTAAAGATGACACAAATTCATTATAGAAAATTCAGAAAAAAATGAGTATGATAAAAATTTGTCTATCAGTACCCCTTTGACATGAGGCTAACTCTGTAGATATTAACTATTACTAACATTTTGGAACTCCCACGTGTGGGGTATGTATGTATGTAAATTATATTTTTTAAACAAAATTGAGATTATTTTGTGTATGTTTTCTGTCCTGCTTCTCACATTATATTATATTCTGGGCATTTTTCCAGATCGGTAAAATTCAGAAACTTAATTGCTGTAGAGGATTTTGTCATTGAACAGAGCACCTATTGCATCTTCATTAGCAGAAGCCCACTTTCGAGGAAGATGATAATATGTCTAGTTAAGAATACTTCCCCAGCTCCTGCTAAAGGTAGCTATATCACAGCTCTGGCAATTTTAGAAATAAAAGTGGATCTTGTACAAGTGAGCTTCTAACACAAGTGATCTTGACAGAAGAGAGGATCTAATGTATAACATGGAGACTGTAGTTAATACACTGTAGAAAAGAGAGATACAAGTAGAAGTCTGCTTTATAAAGCTACAAGGTGTTTGATACAAGAAAGCAGATCTGGCAAGCATGAACCTTTGTCCTTCTCTCTACATCCTGCTACATCCAGGAGCACATACATGAAACCTAGGAGTACTGGAGCCATTTTTTGGCCTATGGAAGGCAGATCCTTTCTGTGGCTGGTTTAGTGGAAAGACTCAAGGCACTTGGATCCTGATAGCATGTTTCAAGGAGCTACTGCACCAGCCACGGACTGCCAACCTCAGGACTTGATACATGAGAATAAACCAAAAACTGGTCATTAATACTGCTTGCTGACACCTGAGAATTCAATGTCTCCTGCCCTCCTATTCCCTTAAGAGGCCCCCTTTAGTGTTGTGCTCCAAGAATCTGTCAGCCTCAAAAATAAAAGCCAATTATTTTACCAGCATTATGGGCTTATTTGAGAATAGTGGATGATTGCAATTCAGGACATACAGGCTACAACAAAACTGTAGGCAAGTCAGAAAAACAAAGGAGGGAACTGCTCTTTTATAGAGGGAAGGGGGAATTGGAGCAGTTGTTACAAACAGAATGTCCTTTGGAGTACACTGGGAGTTTGTAATGTAATGGCTTTTCATTGGCTGAGCTGTGGCCATCTCATTGGCTAGGCTATTGCCAGGCAAGGAGATAATCTTCCTTCTTCCTGCTTGGGGTTAGTAAAGTAGGCTTCTTGTTAGGAATGCAAGGTGTGGCTCTTTCTGTTGGTTCTGCAAAGGGCTGCAAGGTATGATATGTGTAAGCTCCCCCTTCTGGCCTCCCAACTCTATTTTAAGTGACATTTTCTTTATTTAGTTTCACAAATTTGAAACAAATACAGCCACATAGTAATCAACATGTTTATGTTTTCTTCCATTTCCACCCCTCTTTATTCGCATATGACTTCTCCTTACCAACTCCCCCTGCCCCCACCACAAACACACAAAAGTCCTACAACGCAAGTTTTTATTTAGTTAGTGTCTGCAAGGCTTCCCTGTTCATGGGAAAGAGAGGTCTAGAGCTTGACATGAACTAAGATCCAATAGTGGAGGTATCCAAATCTTAGCAAGCTCTTCTGGGTACCCAGAAATACACCTCACAGTGTCCAATCAAATCCCAATAATTTTTTTTCTCTGATTAAATCTTCATTTTCTTGAGGATAAACTGTCTTAAAATATTTTCTATTTAAATCGACATAGTTTAAATAACTTTCTGTAGAGTAAGCATGAAATCATAGCCCAATTTCAAGAAAGTTCTTAAAAAAAAAAAAAGTTCTGGGGCGCCTGGGTGGCTCAGTCGTTAAGTGTCTGCCTTCAGCTCAGGTCATGATCCCAGAGTCCTGGGATGGAGCCCTGCACTGGGCTCCTTGCTCTGCGGGAGGCCTGCTTCTCCTTCTCCCACTCCCCTTGCTTGTGTTCCCTCTCTCACTGTGTCTCTCTCTGTCAAATAAATAAAATCTTTAAAAAAAAAAGTTCTTAAAAAACACATTGAGAACCAAAAACTAATGCTGTATTTTGCTTGTTTTCAGTAGCCAGATTTATAGACCTTGGGAACATCTGTGGCTCAAAGCCAATGAATGATAGTTATTTATTACATACAACTCATTTTATTCTCAAGACAACCCTAGTAAGTATTCTCATTATTCTGAGGAGGAGGATGGGGAAAACAGGCTCAGAAGGATCCAGTCTTACACCCATTAAGTGGCAAAGAAGTCATCAAACTCAAGACTGTCTAGTTCTGAGTCTACTTTCTTAACTTTCAGGACACCTTGCGTCTTGTTCAACATACAGAACGTTCTTCCCGGCTGAAGACTGAGCCTTAAGCTCCTAAGAATTTGGGGGCGAGTAGGGATGGCATTTTCATAGAACTCTTTCCGCACTGGTTAAACGCCAGGTTTTATTCTCCAGCATGAAGCCTCTGATGTCGAACAAGCGCCGAGCTGTGCCTGAAGGATTTCCCACATTCAGCACATTCGTAAGGTTTTTCTCCGGTATGAATTCTGTAATGTTCGCTAAGGTGTGCCTGTTTGCGGAAAGTTTTTTCACACTCGCTACACTTGTAAAGTTTCTCTCCAGTGTGAGTTCTCTCATGTTCAACAAGGGAGGAGCTCTGAGTGAAGGCTTTACCGCATTCCACGCATGCGTAAGGCTTCTCTCCTGAATGAATTCTCTGATGCTGCATGAGGCATGCAGTCTGGTTAAAGGCTTTCCCACATTCGTTACACTTATAAGGTTTATCTCCAGAGTGACTTCTCTGGTGACGGGTAAGGCAAACGCTTTGACTAAAGGCTTTGCCACATTCAGTGCATTTATAGGGTTTCTCTCCAGTATGAATTCGCAGGTGTTTGATAAGGGATGGACTCTGACAAAAGGCTTTGCCACATTCGGTGCATTTATAGGGTTTCTCTCCAGTATGAATTCTCAGATGCTGGACAAGGATTGCTTTCGTTTGAAAGGCTTTCTCACATTCATTACATTTATACGGTTTCTCTCCTGTGTGAATCCTCAAATGTTGAGTAAGATTTGACTGTTTACGGAAACAAGTTCCACATTCACTACACACATAGGGCTTCTCTCCCGTGTGAATCCTCTGATGCTGGGTAAGAGATGATCTCTGAGTAAAGAATTTTCCACATTCACTACACTTTGAAGGTTTCTTCTGCATGTTAAGTCTCTGAGGGTTCATTTGCAGTGAAGTCTGGCTAGAACTCATGCTGCTTGTGACACAAGGAATGTCTGTCCAGTAGGTACAGGTTTAGAGGAAACTGTCTCTCAAATTCATGACACTTACAGGGAACTTTCTCAAAGATGGTTATGGTTAGAGTAACACTGTCCTGGGAAAGCTCTGGGTCTTTATGTGTGCGTGTATTGTCCCTTCGGGCATTCCTACAGGATACCCCTCTTCCTTCTTCACGATGTTTCCTTCTCCAAACACAAACCCTGGACAGCCAGGTTTTCTGACCCTGCACGTCTTCCAAAAGTCACTTAACACTTGCATCAGACTTCATCTTCTTGTTTGAAAAAAATAGCACGAAGGAAAATGTCCTCTGTGCAGAACGGGGGACCTGCATTGTGGAATCTTTACTTTATCCTCTTCTCAATAATTGAGATAGATCACAGTGACCTGGAGAAAAAATCAGATAATAGAGAGAAGAGATTTAAGTAGTGACAAATGTTGGGAAATCTATAAAATTCCCTATTATGATTGCTTCTGGAATACTTAAGTACTAAAAATGGATCCAGGTAATTTAGGATCATCCAGAGTGATAAATAGTAGAATGTGAAAGGGGTAAGTATACTGGGGCACCTGGGTGGCTCAGTGGGTTAAAGCCTCTGCCTTTGGCACAGGTCATGGTCCCAGGGTCCTGGGATTGAGCCCTGCATCAGGCTCTCTGCTCAGCAGCGATCCTGCTTCCTCCTCTCTCTCTCTGCCTGCCTCTCTGCCTAGTTGTGATCTCTGTCAAATAAATAAATAAAATCTTAAAAAAAAAAAAGGATAAGTACACTAATCTTGGGTAAATTAGTTTTAATGGAAAAATCCTACCTACCTACAGTCTATTCAAAGAATAGGTGAAAAGTAATTACATTTCCTTAGGTTGCCTGTAAGCAGTATCTTGCTCATGCTTTTTGAGAAAGTATAGATTTACATCATTGTCTAGTGACAATTAAAGTTTCTCTTTAAGATTTCAAAGGTGGGGCGCTTGGGAGGCTCAGTCAATTAAGTGTCTGACTCTTGGTTTTGGCTCAGGGTCCTGGGATCGGGCTCCACACTCAGTGGGGATTCTGCTTCAGATTCTCTTTCCCTCTGCCCCTTTCCCCTCTCCTCTCTCTAAAAATAAATAAGTTTTTTTAAAGGCTATCCAGGCTGTAACTTTTACTAGGTCCATCACACCAGTCCTTCCTATTCACTCGCCTTGATAGGTGTCTCTTTGGACCTCTCTCTCCAAAACATACAGCATCTGTAGCTCTCCCATTATGTCCAACTGGAAGATCTTTAGGCTTGAAAACTAGAGCCCTGCTTACTGAAAGAAAGTAAGGTATCATTGTTTTATTTACAGGAAAAGTAGGATTGGGTTGGTCCTTGGGGAAGAGATTCCCAGAATCTGGCCCTCACCTTTGATACTAATGAATTGCTTCAGAATCTGATACACACTAATCAAATTCACAAAATGATGTAGAAAACAGTTACTTTACTGATCTACGATGAAAAATTTATATGCTCAATGTTTGGCTCCTTGACATACTCTCTCCATTACAAAAAAAAAAAACTATTAGGAACCAAATCACTGTCATCAGGATACTCCTTAGAACTCGAGAAAGAGAAATATTTAGATGATCTTAATGGCATCAGACTTTGAAACCCTGATGCTCCGAGAAAGGGCACACAGAATCTGAGAACAGATATTCAGGTGCCAAACGTCACCAACGTCTTCCCTGGATGGTGCTAGAGACACTGACACATTCTGAGTCTCTGAGGCCCCTTTTTAGTTTTTTAATATAAGTTATGCATAAATATAACCTCACTTTATAATATTTAGATACTACAGAAGGATATAGGATAAATTTAGTCATTTTTCATCACCATCCCACCCTAACAAAACAAAGCCGTTTCCCTCCCAGAGGTTATCATTAAGTTTGGAGTATATTCATTCAGTCTTTTTTCTTTTTTTTTCTTTTTAAGATTTTATTTATTTATTTGACAGAGATCACAAGTAGGCAGAGAGGGGGAAGCAGGCTCACTGCTGAGCAGAGAGCCCGATGTGGGGCTCGATACCAGGACCCTGGGATCATGACCTGAGCCAAAGGCAGAGCCACCCAGATGCCCCTTTTCAGTCTTCTTTCTACATATTTTTACACACACACCATTTGATTCTCTCTACATAAATAAAATTATTCTATAGGTTCTTTTGTGCTATTTGCTTTTATTCCCCCCCACTAAAGAATGTGCCTTCAAGATAATTTCTTGTTGGTACATACAGATCTACCCTGGCTAAGACTTAGTTGGTACACATTGGTATTTCTGCACAAATTGTTTACAGTCAGAGACCAATCTGATTAGGCAGTACTGTACTGCACTGATTGTTAAATATATTGGGTATTTTTCCAGAACGTATCTATCTTTATCTTCTGTATAAACTTCCAGTGTAGATACAATATGTACAAAAGCTAATGCCAGGTGGTTTAAATAGCTAAACATAAAACCAAAACTCTAACCATGCTTTTATTTCCTTTATTTTTAATGTCTCAAAATTGTTTTTTGGTTTGTTTGGGGTTTTTTTTTTGCCATACAAAGAATGCATACTCATTCTAAAAAACAGTCCACAAAGGAGATTACTTAAAATCCTACCACCGTGTGAAAATAGTTTTTTGGCAATCTTCTAAGCATCTCCCAGTGCATATACACCTTCACAGACACACATGTACATATATTATGCGTACATGTTAAACTAGACTGAATTCTTCAGGCCATAAATGGTCACAATCTATTCATAGAATTCCCATAGCCTAAGAATCCAGTTCATAAAGTACTGTTCTTACTGAATTTAACAGATCCACAGGCTCCGTGTTGCCTTCCGATCTCCGGTAAGTTGCTATTACTTAGGCTTTTATTCCAAACAAAGCCAGGAGCCCATTCATATTCTCTGAGGAAACATTTAAATCACCTTTGCTATAAGTCTTCTAGTAATTTACTACCAGGTTTCCCACGTCTGACTGCTACTCCATTAAGGCATTACCCTTAGCAGTTCAGTGAGTAGCTACCAGGTAACTGCACAGGGGGAGCTATTCTTGCTACAATTTAAGTACATGTGATATAAAATTAGTACATACTCTGATCTGTCCTATAACCAATTACTCCATTGTCTGCTTCCACAATGGGCCATACTCACTCTGATTTTAATAAGGTGGGGCCATTTCCGGTGGTTCTGCGTTTTCAGTCTGCAGGGTTTAGGTGTAGTGGCCACTGGTGGGTCCCACTACAGGTCTGCCACCACTTTGGAATGAGCACCCCCGTAACAACCCATCCTGGGCTCTCTAGTTAGATTTCACTTACCCAGAGATAAGCTGTGAGGAACACAAGCAACACTAGTTTGTCTCCTGGGGCCTTCTTTTGAGGAAGGGCAGGAATCTGAGGCACGGAGGGAGGAGAAAAAAGCACCCATAAATTGTCAGCCTACTTCCTTCCTATTCTGAATTCAGAGGAACTCAGGAATAGCCAATCCCTAATGAAATAACTATTTTAAATCTGAATGAAGAATATCATTATTCTCTTAAAAGACTATCACCCATGGGGTGCCTAGGTGGTACAGTTGGGTGAGTGGTTGACTTGGTTTCAGCTCAGGTTGTGGTTTCAGGGTGGTGAGGCCCTGCATTGGCCTCCAAGCTCAGTGTGGCATCTGCTTAAGACTCTCAATCCCTCTCCCTTTGCCCCCCAGTAGGCACTTTCTCAAATAAGTAAATCTGGAAAAAAAAAAAAAAAAAGTATCACCAATGATGAAAGTCAGTAAGTGGGTTGTCTTCCAAGAGACCTGACCATGCACAAAGAGAAGGGGCAGGTGCTCCTTACGACTATCCTGGGGTAAAATTTCCTCCACAAGAGAGAAAGTTGGAGCCAAAGCACCCCCCCCCCCAAAAAAAAAAAACTACTGGAAAAGCCATTGACTTAAAAAGTCAAAAACTGGGTTATGGTAGAGGGCATTAGAACAAACATTGGCCTGAGTCAAGAAGTCTAGGTTTGAGTCTGGGCTCTGAAAGTGTTCAATGACCTAAAGCTAGTCACTTGGTCTTATCTGTGATTTGTTTTTGTACCTGTGAAATGAAAGTGGAAAACTAGTACCAACATTCTGTGATCCTTTGATTCTATAAACACATGGGAGGGGTGCCTGGGTGGCTCAGTGGGTGAAAGCCTCTGCCTTCGGCTCACGTCATGATCCCAGGGTCCTGGGATCGAGACCCACATCAGGCTCTCTGCTCAGCAGGGAGCCTGCTTCCCCCACCCCCACCCCACCTGCCTCTCTGCCTACTTGTGATCTCTGTCAAATAAATAAAATCTTAAAAAAAAAAAAACCACACACAGGAAAAGAGCAAAATCCTCAGTCCATCTTTGATTGAGGATGGTTATTCATTTATTTTAAAAATACTAACTGGTCAGGTACTATGTGTTAAACAAGGAGGTCAGCTCTTCTGAGAATAGGCTGAGTCAACATCAAGGAAACTCCCCTACAGTAATCTTACCACAACCAGAGGTAGAGGAATTTCAGGAAAATAAGACCACATCTGTGTGAAGCAGAATCTCCAAGAAAGGATGGGGGAATCTTTTGGAAAATGTTAAGGACCCCCTCCTAGGAGGAAAGCTTTTAAGAACTCCCTCTGAACACTAGTAAAAGACTGGTAACCAGTCTAATCTATCCCAATCCACTAGCACCCCTCTGTTTTTCACTGAACAAACTACTTTTCAAACTTCTACTCAACTTTAATATTCAGCTCAAATATGAACCACTACACATCTTTTTTTTTAATGACTTTTTTTTTAAGATTTTTATTTATTTATTCGACAGACAGAGAGGAGGAAGCAGGCTCCCCGCCAAGCAGAGAGCCCGATGTGAGGCTCGATTCCAGGACCCTGGGATCATGACCTGAGCCGAA